CTGAACAGGTTTCAAAAATATTAGTCCAATAGAAAGTAGAAGAAACCCATTTAGAACTAATTGTATGGACAGAAAAGCGTTTCAGCAAATCTTTTGCCTGTTTGAAATCGAATAAAAAAAGAAAGTCATAAATGAATTTTATTTTATGAAAATATATGCAACATTTTAACAAAGCAATCATAGTGTCTATGGTTTCTAGATGGGTAATCAGCAAAAATATGGTTTAGAGAATGAAAACTAACAAAACTTCACTTTTTGGTTTCTTTTTCTTTTTTTGTATTAATTTCTGTTTAAAATAAAATTTATTTTCATGAGGATTATGTTTAAGAGTACTGCTGTAGTAACATTATGACATATGCGAATGATCCCAAAGAATTTATGTGATTTTTTCTGCTCTAAAATCTTAGACAAAAAATCATTGTCAACAACAAGTTTGTGTGCATGTGGAAAGACAGAGACAGTTCAGTATTATCTACTGGAGTGTGTGTTATTCCACGGTCAAAGAAAAATTCTTATATATTTACTCTGTGAAAAATTAAATAAATATCTCTTCCTTTTATAAATTACTGTAATCAATGATGCTGGTGCTTAGTCTTTAATTTTTTTTCTTGTTTTTGATGATGTAAGAACTATGTGAATTAAAAATAACCAATGTGTTTTGTAGTTGATTTCTCTAGAGAATGGGAGACTTATGATCGAGAGATGAGACTAAACCAAATATATCACGGTCAGCTATGTGCACGTCGATATTACAAAAAGACAGTATAAAACATTCAAATTTAAAACTAATTAAAAGTCAATTATTACTTATAGATTCAAAATTAAAGTCAATAAATCAAACACATTCGACCGGCGGTACGCCAATAGAGATATCCAATGTTTATCCATTGAATCCTGTTAATAAAGAAAAACCTCACATAAGTTTTGATGAATCAAACATTCAAGCAACTCTATATGTAACCGATAAAGATTACGGTTATATACTAATAACTGAACAGAAAACACCATTCCCAGAGAAAGAACAAGAAATTAAAATTTGTAGTCTTCTAACACAATTAAGTGAAAAAGAGAAATGCAAAAGAAATTTAAAGAAAGAATGAAAAACCATTATAGTGCAGAAAGAACTAAGATCCTTAAATGAGATATAACGACTAAATGGAATCTAATTTTTAAGTTTGATACTTTGATATTTGTGACTTTCACAGAAAAGACCAATGTATAACGATCAAATGTTGTGTATATTCATAAGAGATCTCGAAACGAATCTCCATTCAGTGCATGTCGTTTCTAAAAATTCATATTTTTGACACAATTATCTTGGGAGTCATTTTTATTAATACAGAATTTTAGATTGAACGTTTTTCTGCAAAAGAGACCTTTCTACAACTCTGTAGAGTTACTATATTTTACTCGGCATGCACTAGTTATGGCTATTAACCGTAAATAACCGGTTGAACAATTAACTGCTGATTTGCCAATTTTAGGAGCATAAAATTTCGCTTCTTCTGATACTCTTCAAGAGAAAAATTCTAAGAATTTCAAAAACGGCAAAAAACCGGTCGGTTTGAAAAGTTTTCCAGACCGGCAAACGACCGGTGGAGACCGGCCGGACTAAACTTTTACACCAGAATGGACCGACGCTGGACCGGTTACAACTCTGCTTGCAGGATCAGACATTTGCGAAAAAATTTTGTGCGTATACCAATATGACCATACTCGCACTTATATTCGAGAGAAAATTTATTCTTTTGTCTCCAAAATGGCAGTATAAAGCGAAATGTTTTCATTTTTATCGAAAAGGTCCGGTCTTTCACGCATTCTTATGAGCTAACAAACTTTGTTTAGACATAAATCAATGAAATTATTCTCATTTCGAATCAAAAACAACGGGATCACAAGTCACGACGGTTAACCATTCGAAATTGTCCCAAGCTAGTTGTATAAATAGTGTATGCTTATCCTTCACACACTGATGAAGGGAAAGGTATTCAAAAGTTCAATGAGAACATATTATACTTTATTTTTATATAATAATAGAAAAATATACTATAAAAACAAAAAAAAAGAAACTTATTATACAAAAACAGTTTAAATTAGTATCTTGCCTATTTAGTAATATAATTCTATTCAATCAAATCTGTTTTATCAACATTTCCTAATGATTGACACAAATCTTCGCTTTTAAACAAATCTGTTGATGATTTTTTCTTTAAACTTGTATTTAATGATTTCTTTAAATTCGGTGGATTAATATTATATCTTTGGTCTTTATTTGTTGTTGCCGAATCTTTAATAGTTAAACTATCAGTTTTACTTACGAAGTCTTCGTCGTACGCCGTACTACCAGAATCGCTCTTTACATCTACGAAAAAATAAAAGAGTAAAATTTTCACTTGTGATCTTTTGGACGAATTTTTTATCTATGATTTCAGTTAGAAAAAAATTGCCATAGTATAATCATGCTGAATAGTGTAACTAACCTGTTTGAGTAATTAGTTTTGTAGTTTGTTGTTCTTCTTGCGTTACTTTTGTAGTGGAAGAATTTTTGACGTTCATAGATGGTATTCTGAGATCTATTAGCAAACAGCCTTCTTCCTGTTCTTGTTCTTGCTGACGTGATCGGAGATTCTTTAAATTAACAAATGCTCGATAAATAGAGATGAGTTTATCCAAATACTGTTTATCGTTTATTGTTTTTGCATGTGTTTTAGTTGAAAAATGTGCTATACATGTCTCTTCCGTTGGAAACTCTTCACAACAAATTGTACAATTAAATGGACCACAACGCTTTTCAGAAATTTTTTTTCTAGTAATATTCTTGATAAAATGGTCGTCATTGTTCTTTGAAAAATGTAGATCAGCATTTTCTGGTACCGTTAATGGTAATTGACAAGCTTCACAATAGGGTTGTAAATCAGGATGATTCCATTCTAATAGACGTTGCATTGTATCAGAACTAACTGTTTGAGTAGAAGAAGACGGTAAGACATTAGTGGATAGATCGTAATCATTCGTTAAATCACTGCAGTATCCTGAGGAAGTAGTTGTGATGGTATTTGTACTCGAGTTAGTCGACTTTATTGCACTGCTTAGCAGAGGTGATTGAAGGATAGTACTGACTGGGAAAGATGAATCCTAAAACAAAGTGATCTACAGTAATTTAGCATTGATTTGGAAGAGAGAAAGAAAACAAAATTTTATACCTGCTTGTGTAGATTAACACGTTTTAAATGTTTTGCGCTAACTAAGTGCTGAGTGAAGGGCTCTTTGCCTGTGCATGTAATATCGCAAACGTCACATTTATAGCTACTTGACATCTATAATAAAAGAATTAACTGTTTTGCGTAAAAAAACCATGCTCTTGCTGTTACTAAAACGGGCAAACAGGTAATAATTCTTCAGAAAAGCGTTTGATAGACAAGTGCTACAATTTGATCATATCAGATCCGTTTTACCTGCAAGAACTTTCTATCCTGAATTCGAGCACAAAACATCCTTCATATATATTCGTTCTTTTCGATGAAAGTTTAGTGGATGTCTTCTAACATATTTCATAGAAATATTTCAATTATTTCCAATTTACATTTCCTTTTGGATGCCATTTTAAATGTAGTGTAAAGCTAAATTTCTCTTTACATTTACGCTGGCATCCAAAACGCTTAAGCTACGATAAAACCATGAAAATCATGGTAACAACGTGTACTGTTCTTATTATCGGAATTTTATTTGTTAAAGGAATGCGACGAGAGTTTCACAGAACTTACTTACAACTTTTTGTAATAAAAAACGTTTGATTCTTTTCGTGAATAAACATCCATTATCCATTTCAAAATATAAAGGCCACACATGGTTTTTGAATAACTTTTGAAGGGAAAACACTAGAGACCTATGGTTTTTAGATTATGAAAGAGGACACCCGAGGGCAAAAATCTATGTTAAAATGAGTCCTTTCCGACAGCACTACCATGGTGTACCTTTTCGAGACGTTGAATCTTGTGTCACTGTTTGTTTTGTTGTCTGGATTAAAGAAACTTCAAAAGATGAATTTCTTAGAAAATTCAATTTTTCCGCTATGACCGTATTAAAATAAAAAGCTTCTAGTACTTTCATTTTTCAGCCAAACTGTATGAAAGTTGAAGAGTGAGCATAAAAAAAATTGTTCTATCCGATCTGATGACCAGTACTAGAAAAAGAACAGCGAATCCTCGATAGATCTTCCAGAAAACTTCTGAAGGTGATCTTCAGTTTAAATCTCAGTATAAGAAATAACTCTAACATTCCTAGACTATACAGCGGGCGAAACTGAGTGACTTTTAAATATCTGAAGCAATTTGGTTGAAAAATTTAGGTGCCAGAAGCTTTTTACTTTAGTACGATCATAGCGGAAAAATCGACTTCTATGAAAAATTCATTTTCTGAAGTTTCTTTAATCCGGACAACAAAAAAAACATTGCCACGAGATTAAAGCCCTGCATTAGATGGACATGGACAGTTTTTTTAAATCTGTCTATGGACGGACATGGACAAAAAAAAATTGTCCATGCAGGTCTCTAAACAGGAATGAAATTCTCATACGCAAAACGTATTTAAAAAACGCGAACATTTCATGGACAAACTGATGGACATGGACAGAAAAAAAACTTTTGTCCATGGACATGGATGGACAGAAAAACACTTTTGTCCATGGACATGGATGGACATGGACAGAAAAACACTTTTGTCCGTGGCCATGGACGGACATGGACAAAAAAAAATTGCCTATGCAGGTCTCTACACGAGAAGCAATGTCTGCTTATGTGTACTCCACTATAAGGATTTTTGGAATGGCAGGCTCGGATATTCTATTTTTTACAGGTACATCACGGTAGTGCTGTCGGAAAGGGCTCATTTTAACATAGACTTTGGCTCCCGGTTGTTCTCTTTCATAATCTGAAAACCATAGGTCACTAGTATCTTTTCTTCAAAAGTTATTCAAAAAACATTAGTGGTCTTTGTATTTTGAAATGCATCTTTTTCGTGCTTCTAACTTTTTGAAAGTATTTTTTTCACATTCAGCACCAAAAACTGAGTATGAGAATGATGTTTGTTCGAGGCTGAAGTCAAAGATCTATTCAGTATGGATGCCTTAGACACTTTTCGTAAAAGGTTCAAAAAGAGTTTTGCAAATCTATGTAGGTTTTCTTGTGAAGAGATGAAGCCGAGATTTATACTTCATTAAAATCGCCATTAAACGAGCTTTAAAAGTACACATAGCTAGACCTATGCGCCACGCCGCCGATGGATAACTAAGATTTTCGGTCTCATCGCTGCCGAAGGCGTCGAACTTTTCTGGAGTTCCTCGCCGCCGCCGCTGATGGATAATTTAGATTTCGCCTCCGCCACGGAAGTTCTTTTGGAGGTTCTCGCCGTACAAACCTATTTAAGCCTCCGCCGATAGAAAAAGTTTTGGAATAAAGTTTTGGATAAAAAAAGTCATAAGAAATTTGATGGATCACTGGTTTAGTACGCCCTCTGCCATCTATATCCTCATTTTCATATTTTCTACAACTGGTCTTATACTATCTGTTAAACGTGTCAGTTTGGGACCAGAAAATTTGGGTAAGATACAATACATACATGATAATTATAGTATGTTTAACGACTAAAAACAGTGCAGCTTTTGTTTCACTTCTTATTTTGATTGAAAATAAAATAAAAAGTTTGATGAAATTGACAATGGATCTTGGCTTAAACTAAGTTTCGTATTCAAATTTGGTGGCACCCTCCGCTGACGATTCAAAGTTTTAAATAATCTTTAGCCTCCGCCAAAGGCGGAAAATCTTTTAAAGAGGCTCCGCCGCCGCTGCTGGTCGCAAAACTTTTGTTACATGCCGCCGCCGATTTTTCGACCGGCGCACAGGTCTACGCATAGCTTTTTCTTTAATTTTGTTCCACTGTTGAGAAAACTCGTTTTTTTTTAAATCAATGACGAAAAACACGGAAATACACTCGTATTTTGAGATTTTAACCACCAGATTTGAATTTTATTTTGCAGTACTCATGTGATATTCGGAATCATCATCAAAAACTGACTCGAATGAGATGTCTGGGGATTTTTGGATAGCTTTTGTTTTGGGTGAAAAATCTCGATTTTTTTCGATGGAGAAATTCAAAAAAATCAAAGTTGTCGAATGGAACGGTGAGGTACCGCATTCTAGTCAGTTTTTGATGATTCCGAATATCACCCTAGTTCTGCAAAAAAATTCAAATCGGATGGTTAAAATCTCAAAATACCTAAACACAAAAAGATCGTTAGAAACAGCAAAAAGCGTGTTACGAAATCCTCGTTTTTTTACCTGTTTTCACACGTTTTTCAGAAACGTACTTCATCACGTTTGTTTTATTTTCTGTTCTTACGCGTTTTTATTCCGTTTTTAACGATCAAAAAACACATTACGGAACGCGTTCTAGAACGTTTGAAAACTCGTTTTGTGTGTTTTTAACGCAAAAGTAACACGTTCTAAGGTATTCAAAAGACTGTTTTAGCGCATTTTTCGTTGTTTTAAATGAGATATTTAACGTTGATCGTTAAAAACGGAATAAGAACGCGTTCTAGGGTCAATTTTTTTGTGCCTGTGTACGAGTGTATTTCCGTATTTTTCGTCATTGATTTAGAAAACGAGTTTTCTCAGCAGTGGAACAAAATTAAACAAAAAGGTATGGGTACTTTTAAAGCTCGGTTCTAATGAAGTAAAAGTCTCGACTTCACAAAAAATTCTACACAAGTTTGCAAAATTGTTTTTGAATCGTCATACTCAGTTTTCGATACTGAATGTGAAAAAAATACTTTGGAAAAGTTAGAAGCCCGCAACAGATACTAGATACTTTCTGTTGAGCAACTCTAAAAATTTAGCTGATAACCAAAAAAAAAGGGCTTTTAACTTTTCGGAGTAATTTTTTTTAGTAGGGGTAAATTTTTTAAAATGAACGGAGTAATTGTTTTAAACAAGGGGGGGAATTCTCCCATTTAGTCAAAATCGCTACCGGCACCTTAGAACTGGCGGAACAGGGAGGAAAACCGTCCTCGAGCGATGACCACCGACAAATAAGTAATTTTATAACGATATGCAATCACAAATCAAAAATCTAAATCTGCGCTTAACGTGGATTTTCCCGTGACATCTCATATGTCCTTTTTATTAGCGTATGAAAAACTTACAGAGATCCTCATCATTGATTTAAATATAAAATCATAAGCAACAGCGCTACTCTACATTGAGCAATTTCTGGATAACACAACGTATGCAAAATTTATTTTAAATAAAATTTCTCGAGTGATTTCCAGAAAAAACGAATTTTAAAACTTGTTAAAATAATGAATTCATACTTGCCCTCGTCTGATTGTGCTGAACTTGCACCAAGAAGAGTATCGTGTCTACTCATTAATGTAAGGTTGAAGATAAGTTACAATAAAAATAATCCGCTGGTGTTTCTACGAATATTCTATTCGTTTTCATTGTATCTTATCTTGACAGCTATTAACGGATAAAAAGGAGCATGAATATTAAAGTTTGACATTTCCGGGTGCTGCTACTAGTTTTTGTACACTTTTGAACGACGGGTGAAATCATCAGATATGAACTTTATTGGTAAACAAAAAGGAGAGAGGATAAGATGAAGGAATTTCTCCTGTTCGCTCAAGAAAGGCGCAATTCGTTGTTCAGCCAAAGATGCAAAAGAGAAATATTAGCAGTTCGAACTCCCATTAAAAATAGCTGTCGATAGATTTTAACGTTCTTAGACAAATGTCAAGATTTTATTAATTCGAAGCTGATTTTAGATAGGGAATTGTTTTAAATTCTGATGTATGTGTGTTCTAATTGTATCATTCGTTTATCCTTTGCAACATATCCTTATGTCAAATGTTTTGTAACGAACAATCATTTATGGATGACAAAACGTTTGTTAACTGTGGGTATTCACAGTCCAATTAAAAGCTTATTATTATCGAATAATAATAATTATGTGTCTAACATTTTGGCAGGTACAAGTTTATTTTCATCTTTATCAGTGGATTAGTGTTTTGTTTTGTTTTGTAGTTTTCTCTATTTCGAGGACAATCCATACATCATCGATAAAACATAAAAAAGATTATTATGAAGTATTAGGAGTATCGAAGTCATCTACAGCAAAAGAAATAAAAAAAGCTTACTATCAAGTAAGAGAATAATTATTTTTCATAGGTGAAAAGATTTTTATTTATTTATTTGTAGTTAGCTAAACAATATCATCCAGATACAACCAAAGATAATAAGGATCCAAATGTAGCAAAAAAATTTCAGGAAGTTTCCGAGGCCTATGAAGTAAGAGAAAGAAAAAAAACATTAGGCATAAGTTTAACATATTTCATATCATTTAGGTACTAAGTGACGATGGCAAACGGCAACAATATGACATGTACGGAATGAGCAGAGATCCATTTGGAGCTGCACCTCGAAGAGGGCCTGGACCTGATCCAGGACAGGACTTTAAGGGTTATGAATATTATCAAAGTCAAGTTGATCCAGAAGAATTATTTAGGTACAGACTCTTTTTTTGAGTATATTCTTGGAAAACTCACAATTATTTTATTCAGGAAAATTTTCGGTGATGCATTTCATCGTGGAGGTTTTGGTACTCAAAATTCGATGAATGATCAAGATGATAACATCTTCGGCAAACAAGGAATAAATCAGGTAATTTAATCTTTTCGATGGTCGTCCCAGCTATTTATTTTGTATTTTTTTATTTTTTCAGCTTGTTTTGGATTTAAGTTTTGAAGAATCCGTACGTGGTTGCAACAAGAATGTTAATTTGAATATTGTTGATGTGTGTAAGGTGTGTAATGGTACTCGATGTGCATCTGGCTATCAACCACAAAAGTGTCGTACATGCAATGGAACAGGAATGGTATCATTGATAAATATTTATCTTTTTTGTAACATACCATTTGGATTCTCGCTGTGTTTAGGAAACAGTTCAAACTGGACCATTTTTTATGCGTTCCACATGTCGTACTTGCCATGGAAGTCGAGAAACAATACCAAAACCATGTTCTGAATGTAATGGAAAAGGAAAAACAGCACAGAAAAAACAAACATCAATTTCAATACCAGCGGGTAAGATTTGTTCATGAAAAAAAATGCGTTTATAGTTATTTTTTTTTGTATCTCTAGGTGTGGAAGATGGACAAACAATGAGACTAAATTTAGGTGTACAAGAAGTATTTATTACGTTCAGAGTAAGTGTGAACTAATTTTTCTTTTTGCTCCTTAACTTTTAATTAAATCTTTTGTTTCAGGTGAAAGCCAGTGATAAATTTCGACGAGATAAGGAAGATATTCATAGTGAAATCAGCGTATCTATAGCACAATGTGCACTTGGTGGAACAATCAAAGTTCCAGGTATTCATGAAGATCATCTTCTACAAGTATGTTAACGAAAAGCTACTCCATATTTTCATCTATGATGTTTATCTCTTATGTTTAGGTACCTGCTGGAACTCAGTCGCATCAACGTTTTCGACTAATTGGCAAAGGCATCAAACGTATTCATAGTCCAGGAACAGGTGATCACTATGTTCATATCAAAATAAAAGTGCCAACGTATGTATTTCATTTCTTTTGTCATTTTGAAAAGTTTAAACTTGATCCGTACTTTAAATTTTAGTCGGTTATCTTTGGAACAAAAAGCGCTAATGCTCTCTTACGCAGAAAATGATAAAGACATTGAAGGAACAGTGAACGGTTTAACACAAACAAAAACGGGTAAGTAATTGTAAATTTAGTGTTACTACAAGATAAAAGCCTATTTGAGTTTTTCTAACCGATTATTTAGTTTCTGACGAAAGATAGAACCACTCTTTGTTTTTTGTTTTTTTATAACCAAATTATCAAGTGATGAAGCCCTATTAAGAAAACTCAAATGTGACTAGTCTAGTAGAAGGAAAAAAAACTTAATATGAGCAAGTAATAGATGACATTCTGATCTGTTTATATTCCATATCTATGGGTACTCTTAAAACTTGTTCTAGTAGTAGGATATTTCTTATATTGACCAATGAAACTTTCTAATAAGTCAGACTATAATATTATTACTCTTAATTTTCTAATAAAAAAAACAATTTTCTGAACGTTAATTTAGTTGAACGTTTTTGTTCATACCTACTCCTTCACACTATGTTTAATCAGTGCCGGATAAATATTTTAATATGTGTGTGTGTGAGTATCAACAGAATATATAGTACATTTTATTTTAGGTAATCGGGTAATAAATGAAGATGATTATCCCTTATTGAAATCAATTCGATCTGCTCTGTTAAATTTACCAATTGGTTCAAAAAAAGTAGCTGATAACATAGATGAAAAAGAAACAGATACGCGGCCGAGAAAAACACGAAAGAAAACAGAACAAAAAAGTGGTTAGCGTTTATTCAATTAGTAATTTGTTTTTCTATTTTTTACATCATCAGTAAATATTTATTTTCTTTAAAATATTTATAATTCTGTACCGTCTTTAGGCTATTTCTTATGTTTGTATTAAAAGAAATTCTTCGATGTATTTGTTTTTTTTGGTTTCAACTTGTTAAAGTCTTCTTTTAATCAGTTACATGTTCCCGTTATAAAACTATCTTTTAATTTTTGTTTTTGTTTTTGCTTTTTTCGCTAACCATTACTATTTGTATTTGTGTGATGTGCATACATCATACGATTGCGAGCAAAACTATTGATTAAAGCACAGAGCAAGAAAAAGAATAGTTTTCTGTGAATTTAAAAGGTATCAAGTATCGAAATTCATCACGTACCAGTCATAATAAAGAATAAAATATCAAAATGTAATGTTGAATGCTAGATATTATCGTCAATTAATCCCACTATTATCAAACTAGTCTCATAAATGTCTATAAATCATCTAATGTGGTCGTATGGCAAAAAGCTGCATTTAATAATGTGTTTGCTTTTCTGTCTTTACAATATAAAATGCAATACAAATAAAATAAGATGTGTATGTCATTTAGACATCTGTGTCAAAAGCCTCACTGTGGGGAAATGTGATATATAAAATAGTTAGTTACTTTACGACTTCAGTTTCACATAATTTTGGTTTATTAGTACATATACTTGTTTTGGTGACTCGTTATACCACAATCATCACGGCATGTATGGGAATTGACTGCGGTATTTTCTCGCTCTTTCTCTTTAAGAAAACAAATGCATCTGACTATCAATAATAGTTAATTGGTGCTATTTTTAGTATTTTTAAATTAATGTTTTAAACTGTGCCAAGAATTGAATGTTATTTTTTCACTATTGAAGTTAAAAATTCCTTAATTTAAGTAATGTGCATTTAAAGTAGATTAGCCATGAAGCTTTTTCTATTTCCAAATTAAAATATCTAACAATGTACGGTTTACAATGGATGAAAAGGTAAATAAAACTATGGCTAACTACAGATCTCTTCAAAATGATAATACTTTGTTTATTTAAGATTTTACATCGCTTTACTATCAACATTTGCTTGTAACTTATCATTTTTCATCTTATACTAGATGATTTATAGAAAATTAAAAGACTAATTTGGTAATAGTGGGATTAATTGACAATAATATCTGTCATTCAACATGAGATTTTGCTATTTCATTCTGAATACCATCCATCGAGCTGTCGAATAATTTCTTTCTCAAATTAAAGTTAGCGTCGAATTTAAAAAACTATCTCATGTATCGTTCATACAGCTGATGTTATTAAAACGTATCAACAAACACATATTTGAACTAATTTGATTATTTTGAAGGAATTTGACTATGATCATTATCTTTTGGTAATACGAAAACACTGCCAAGTATTGGATCATGATTTAGAAGTTTTAAAAGACTTTTCTTTTATGTAAGTGGTCGCTGGAGGTTGAAAGTAACAAGTAGACTATGCATGGTCGTTATATACACAAACAACACATAATAAAATTAAATAAATATTGAAACAAAAAACAGAAAAAGTATTTGTACAAATGAGTAAACAGACATCATTTATGATGGGTTTGTTTACAGAAATATCTGCACTGTATTTTTGTTAGAAATACGATATTATTGAATTTGGTCGAAGATTTGTTTTTACGCATTTTTCGACGATCAGTGATTGATTACATCATCGACACGGACGATGTATGAAACAGCCTCTCCTTTAAACTACATTTTGTTTTGTTTTTTCTATTTAGTTTTATACATTTTCCTATTCTTAGTCACATTTGTTTTGTAGTTGTGTGCATGTTCAAATTTATTAATTATTTATTTATTAAATAATTTTCTTTAAATATGTACAATGTGAAGACTGATCAAATGAATAGAAAAGATATAGTAAACAGATTCATGTCATGGCCACTTATTGTTTACTTGCTTGCCTGACGGTGTGAAGTATTTCATCTGTTGTAGGTGTATCTTTTCTCTTTATGACACGTTGGTAACTTCAAAATGCGTATTGATAATATGATGAAAACGAAGATGCTAAATTATGTTTTCAATTATCGATCTCTTCTTTTTCAAGTTAAATCTATAAGGTTAAATCATTTAACCATTCAGTAAATAATTCTTTTTGTTCAACAGTTAACAACATATTTTGTTTTAATCGAAATAATGCGAGCCAAGCTGTTTTAGAGAATGAATTATCTCTAAATATTTTACTTTTTAATAAATTAATGACTGTTTCACGAGATTCATTCACTATTGTATATCTAATTTCACCATTTGTTAAATTTTTTTTTCTTTTTGATTGAACATATTGATTAAATAATGTCACATCAACAATTACTTGATCATCATTGAAAATATCGAGTATCCAGTTGAGAAATAATTTTGGTTTACAACTATCCAAATATTCGAATAAATAAGTTTTTATTATTGAAGGAAAATCACTATATAATCCATCATATAACTTGTTTAAAATTATTTTTTGAGTACATTCAACATTAAAGAATAAATCAAGATATTCAATAGTAAAACATTCTAACAGTTGTCTATTCTCTCGATCATCATATACGTTATTATTTAAATCGTTTAAATATTTTTCAAATGTAACATCACATTTTTTATATTTAATATTAATTAATTTTACAGTAACAGACGAATTTTTTCTATATTCCTGATATAATTCGATTAAATGTGTTTGTAACAGTTCCATTGCCAATTTTCTTCTATCGTATGAATTTCTGTTTCAATGCAAAAAAAATACTTTTTTTCTTTAATCGTTCTGTTATTTAGAAATCAAATAAGCGAAATATGAGTGGACTAGAACACAGAAAAAAGTAAAAATTTATACGGTAAAATATTTTCAGGATGACAATTGAGAAAATTATTAAAACTCAAAGTGTTATTTATGGATAGTTGGAATTAGAATAAAGACAATAATTAATACCGTTTATTTTCTAAGAACGTCGATTTATTTTCATACACATTGCACAAAAATACTTTCTCAAGTTTAATGTTTCATTTTTCATGATATTTGGTTAAATTAGTTAATAAAAAATAATGCGCAACGAAGTTTAGCATTTGTGCTGCCAAATATAGATGGTATTTTATGTATAACAGCCTTCTGAACATTAACATCATAAACAATGATCTACTTTAAGGTCAACAAATGGTATTTACTAATCAATCACAAAAAAATTGTCATTAATATTGTGAGTATAGACCACTGAAATATTTCACTCGAAGTGTTTCTACTCAAAATATTAGTGATACTAGAATATACAAGTAAAGACCCTCTATTTTAGTTTAACATGTGAGAATGTACAGTCAAATGCGGGGCATCCGATGGCAAAAATCTAACCACTTGAAACTATAATATCTTTGGAATCCATGTCTCCCAATGAGTATATCAGAGTGACCCTTCAAAATGTAAAAAGCCCCTGGCCCTTCAAATAAGGCCTATGGGGAAAAATGCTTTATGCAGTCGTAATCAGCGCATCGAGCTCCACAAACTGGTATACAGCATTCAAAAATCATCGTGATACGTGGAGACCTTCTCTCATCAGATAAATAATGTTTACTAAACATCTGACAAACGCTATGCATATTGATATCGCTTAATATTGATTATGAATCTTCGTCGAGAAACGATTGTGTTAGAAAGACAAAAAAATTATGAATTCCGCACTACATCTCATTTTGTAGAACGATGTTTCCTCTAAAAAATACTGAGTAATCAAAAAACTTCGACATTTCGTATTTTTCATTCGATATGATTGAGAAAAAAGATAGTTAGTTAGAATTGAATTAGTTTTGAATCGAAATTTATTCATTCGGCTCTGCATCATTTTGATGAAAATAGCTTGCATATTTTTAATTCCATTTGATACGATAAAAACAAAATGAATCCGGTGTTTGGTAGTACTGAGATAAAAACGAGAACTTACATTTTGTTTTAGAAATCGGTCCATCTTCAATAAATCAGACAATAATAAAGACTATACGTTTAAATAAATCTAAATTAACTTTATGTTGAAAGAAACCATATAATACATTTATTACTTCGAACATTACCTTTTTTGCTTTTATTTGGCCACTACTTGGACAACATTTGTGCGATATTAACAGTTTCTTATTTTATGACAAAAGTAGTCGAAATAATTTTCAAATTGTATCTGAGAGCTATCAGTTTTATATACTGATATGATCTATTTTACTTCATGTTAAGAGTAAATTAATTGTACCATTAATGTAGCATTCATCTGGACGTTTGACTAACTTGAACTCTTTCTACTCTAAAGTATATGTTGGTTTTGTTTTTATTCGTATTATGCGAAGTAAAAGTACATAAAAACAAACGAACAACCAAAATAGTGTTTGTAGCTTAAATAGGAAATATAAAAACAAACGGTTGTCTTCAAAAAAAAGAAAAAAAAGAGAAGAAACAAAACAAAAGCGAAACATTAGCAACAGAAAACATTTCCTTTCGATAAGCAGCACTCATTTCTCGATATAGCCATTTTGCGTATAGATTTATCATCATTTAAATGCAACAATCGAATGCAAATATTCTACTATTTAACTGTCAGTAGAAAAAAACCCTGACAAAGTTACTATGTAAATAAGAGCTGTTGCCATACTAGAAGAAATGTGAGGAAGCAGTTTGATTTGAAGAGCACGAAAAGAATCAAACTAGTGTGTCGATGTAAAAGCTTGCAAGCAACACAAGAAAATACACACGCAATTAATGCATTCGTTTGTATTTCAAAAAAAAAAAGTCAGGCTGTAAAAAAGAAGTAAGATGTCACTCTTCCAGAGAGAAAAATAAATAAAATATAAAAAGATTTTACACATATAATTTCTTCTTAAAATCATTGATCGATTTTAAATTATTATATCTGGCACGTTAGTGTTTCTATATTGTTTATGAGAGAAATAAAAACAGAACATATTAATTGTTGTTTGTGTTATTAAACTCTCTCATAAAATAATACATAAGCATCTGGACTAATGATACGCGATGGTTGACTTAATTGATAAACGCTAAATAACAAATGAATTAAATTAATAATAGATGTAAAACAAGTATCAAATAAAACTTATATAAATTTGATTAAAAACATTAGAAATAAAGTTCTATGTTTACCTTGAATCATTAAATTCATGCCATTTGAGTTGAAAAGGATGTTTACAAGCCGCTGTATAATGCCCGGTGTAAGGAGTTCCACTATGATTTGAAACGCCGAAAAGACTGTAAATCGGATCAGGTCCTTAAAAGATAATAAATAATATAGTATTTATCTCGAGATAATGTTTTTTTTAAGTTACCTTCGTAACTTTCAGATAAAACATCTGTTAAATCGTTTAATCTCAAATTTGTGATCGGAAAATCAACCATTGTATTTAACTTGGTCCGTCCACGTGATTGTGAAAAACGTTTTAAATGTAAAACTAATATTTCTGGACATTTTTGTATAGAAAATTTTTTCGTACATCGACGTTTTTGTTTACATTTAGCGCACATCTATAGACGAACAAGAAAAAAAAACTCGAGAATTCTATCAATTTAGATTAACTCTGATAATCAACTTGACTAAACTTACTGCTTTTTCATTTCCATCCAATTCCTCTCTACTCATAAATAATTGAATACAATCTTGTAGTGTACTACTCGATTTATTCTAAATAGTAACGACGTGTGTATATAAACGATATAATTAAAATCTATTTACTTTGCTTACCCGAGGTAAGGGAACAGAGAGATCCCAAAATGGATCGAAAGTGATGGATTGATATCCACAATGAGAACATTCAAGTGTACTTTTTAACTGTCCAACAAATATATCTAAAACAAATAACTCCTCTGAAAATATAAACGTCTGAGACTTTACGTGCAAATACATACCCACAATGGTACTGTTGTCAAAACTCAAATATCTATCCCAACTTAATTTAGCGAGATCTTTTTCACTGAAAAACAAGCAAAGTAATTTCTAGCAGTTCTATTGGACCTGTGTCATAGAAAAGCAAAAACAAATATTTACTTCATTTGTTCTTCAGCTTTTTCATCAATTTTTATTGGTGTCGGTTTTTTTTGAACACGATTTACATCTTCATGAAGTCCTTGTAATAAATATCGAAGAAATTCTTGTGAATCTTGTTCTCTATAAAAAAAAAAAAACAGTAGAGTTTTTTAGACAAGAGATTCTTTGACTCTACATACGAATAGCCCGTAAATCTTGGTGCAAATCTTGCTATTTGATTTTTAAATTGCGACGGACTAATAATTGAATGACTTTCGGCAGATGACCACATGCGTTTAATGAAACTAACAAATTCTAGAAAAAATAAATAAAAAATAGTAATAACTGGTATAGAAAGAGTGAACTAATCGTATCTTACCTCTCATCAAACCACCTTTCATTACGCTTGTTGAGGATAAATTTAATGAACTTTCGAGATTATCCATAAGACAGAACAATAGTAATGGTTTTGTATTACTTAAGCATTGTAGAACGGAATTCATAAAACACTACAGAAAAAAAGAAAGAATAAACCAATTAATGATGAATAAAAACAGTATGTATGCCTCTTATCGAAAATGCAAAACATCGAAAGTGAAGATGCAGAATACATAAGATCGAAACGAAGAATCTCGAAAACCTGAAATGTAGAAAATTTCGGACATCAAACGGTAGAAATACCGAAAATATGCGTTTTGGAATTGAACTCCTATTTCCAAAATGCTTTTTGCTCATAGTTCTGCCGGAAGATTTGAATATCTTTTGTGCATATTGTCATTTTGTTTGTGTGAAATCTTTTGCCGTTCTATGTGATATTAACAAGTATGAGCCGTAGCTCGATACATTTATATTCTTCTACCACTTTTGCGAAGTGGACGGACAGAAACAAAAAACACTCTAAAATTTAGTTAGTAATTTAGTATTCATTCTATCTTGTTACAAAAATATCAGCTAATTTCAACATGGCAACTCCTGCAATGTCGTTTATCAAGAGTAACAAAGGAAACGAATTGCTCGTTCTCCATTCATACATGTCTCCATGCAACAAGAAAACAGCAACAACTAAATACTAGTCATGCAAAAACTACTAGCTTCTTGACGTTCATTTCTGTTTTCTACTCCTTTTGTTCAGGAAATTACTGGAGGCTTTTTACTATGTAAAGAAACAAAATGACAATGTGCACAAAAGATATTCAAATCTTCCGGTAGAACTATGAGCTTGAAGCACTTTGGAAATACGAGTCCAATTCTAAAACGCACATTTTCGTTGCTTTTACCGTTCGTCATTCTGTATTTTCTACATTTCAGGTTTTCGAGATTCTTCGTTTCGATATTATACATTCTGTATTTTCGCTTTCGTATTTTTTCATACATTCATAAAAACAAGAGTGAACGAACCGTATTTCCTAGATTTGCAAGCCCCTTCAAACCACCGAGCATCAGTTTTGATTCAATTGATGAAATAGTCGGTGGTGGATTTGCAGATGCGGAGGTTGGTGACTGCGCTTCTGCTTTGGTAGGAGGATGATCATTCGAAGATTCAATAACAGCACCAATTACATGTGGAGTACGACAAAGCTTAAAGAAAAACCAATAACGTCAGCAGATTTATCGCTAGAGATAAAATAATAGGCATACTGTTGTCGTTCGATCATGACTTGATAAACGTGTTCGCATGGTCACACTATCGGTTGATGGTCGCCGTATAGCATTCTGTTGAGCAGCTGATAATGTTGTTGTTGTTACAGGTCGATCAAATTTTGAGATTCGACCATTGATGGGATTTGATATAATTCGTTCCGGAGATGCTTTTGTTGTATGAGTACCTCGTGTAATATTCATACTGCCAGATTGAATCTGACTTGTTAGTAGATTAACGTTCCCTCTTGTTGTTGTTGATCTGTAGGATGATGTTGGCTCTTGTCGAGTAGCACTAGTTCGAGATGGCCGAACACTACTTTTCATTTTGTTGTAATAAATGGAAGGTGATTTTGTCGTTGATACGGGCAAATTGAATAACGGAATGACGACGTCTAGCCCGTTCGCCGCTTCCTTCGTCCAATATTTCACATTCGTCACACCTATCTGAAGTGAAAAAAACAAAACTATAAAACCAAAAGATTTTTTTGTATAATTAAGAATAAAGTAACGACAAGAAACTGTCAGAAGACGTGTTTCTAATCATCAATTCAAAAGCGGCTAATTTAGAAACTTTCTTTTCGTCAAGATTTTTTTTTCTAGATCGACTGATTTCACACCGATAAGTTGCAAAGAAAAGCCCAGAATTTTAGTTATCCTTTTTATGGGTTATAAAAGTTATCCTCATCATCGAAAATACCAATTCTAATGTTAAACATCAAAATGCTCTTTAATCAGCATGCCTAGGTTTCCTTTAAGGAGCCTGAATAAATAACTGTTTTGATAGTATGTGGTTTTTTATTTTAAATCCCCTTCGTTTGGTCACATACAACAAAACAAAAACAACAAAAGTAGAAAACTGGATGCTGGTTCATTTGTTAACTGTTGTAATCGTTTAATTTAAAAATATGTATGTGGTCGTCTTGTTGTAAAACGTGGATGATGTAAACGTTTTGTTGCTTTATTAACCATTGGAAATTTAATTTTACTATCGTGAAATTGTGTAACATGTGTACGACGGCAATCTTTTGCATTTAACCGTTTTATTTTCATGATTTGTATCGTTGATGGTCGTGCACGATGTTTTGCACCCATATCACGATAACATTGTGTGACAGCTGCTGCACGTGTTAAATCACGATATTCACGGTACATATTGTGTGTACCACTACGGGAATCATATCTTAACCAAATACCAAAATTTTTCACTAATAGTGGTTTACGTTCATTAATTAATTTACATTCAACAATTTCACCAGCACTCTTTTTGATACGTTTTAATTGTCGAATAAAAAACCAAAAACGACTTTTAGCTTGAACCTCATCTGGTGCATAAATGTGCATTTCATATAATGGTGGATTTTTAACCGTTTCACTTGGAAGTTTTCTTCCAATTATTCGATATTCTCTCAAATTACCTTTCGCTTTCATGTTGACTAGCAGATGATAGATGTTAACTAAAATCTAAAAAAGTATTGTAACTGTAAAATATACGTAAGATATACGTAAATAACTGTAAGATATACGTAGACGCTCATGACACAGTAATAGCGACGAAAGCGCATTGTCCACCACCGCAAACCATGGCACAGCTAAGCCTTGAAGGTTAGGGTTACAGAATCCTGGCAGTACACGCACACGTCCGATCGAGTCAGTTCAAACCATTTATAATATGTTGCTTAAAATGGACAGATAGGAAGATAAATCGATGTGTATCCTCTATGGAGAAAGTGTGACTAAAACAGAGTTAAACCTCAAAAACATCAACTATTAATATTTTTACTCAATCACTTATCAACTTAAATGGAGTTCGTGAACTGACACTCTGCAAAAGTAATGAATTTCTTCTTATTTTCTTTCGTCCGTTCCGCTGAAGTCATCCATCTTCTTCTTTAGGGTAAAAACTTGTCTGCAATGAGTGAAATAATTGGTTGATGACTCGAATGAAGCCAAAAACCTCACTACCTGAAGGTTCAATTTATTTGTCAATGACTGTCTTAGTTACGTTTCTGATTGGCTATGCTGTTCTCGTTTGAAATTGTTATATTATCTAGAGCATCGTAAAATTTGCTATTCATCTGTTTGATATATTAGAATAGTGCTCATTTCAATTTAGAATCACTGAAAACCTTAGATTTTGTGTCTTTTCAGTGTTCTTTTCTAAAGCGCTCCTTTTGCAAAAGTACTATTTTCTCCAATAAACATAGTCAAATAATAAGTTAATAATAAGTTGTTGTCAAATAATAAGTTGTTGTTTTGTTGGAAGTAGCATTCGTTACATTTTACGGAATTAGAGACAGATTTACGGTATATAATTTGTTTTCATAAATCTCTTTTATATTATCTAGTAACGCAGGCATATGACAGCGTACTGTCATTTTTTTCTTCAGGTCATCCCTTGCAAATCTGTCTTCCATTGCGAAACCAAAGTTAGTGGTAGTGTCGACTATGTGCTTGTTATTGTGGTACAAGAGTTCTCAGTTAGCAAACTTGGAGAGACTCCTTTGAATTACAGTCAATTTTCTTATGATTGTTAAGTGATAATTTTTACGCTTTTGTAATAACGGGGAGGTTTGTTTCACAACAGTGTCGAATCTTTCTTCTCACGCTTTAGGATAATCTTATATCTTGGAACGTTGACTTTGTCTATATTTTTTTAATATAATTGGCAGAAGATGTTCCTTTATACATGTAAGTTTTTCCGCTCGTATATTTTGAAATATACACGAATGTATAAAACGTATTATCCTCTAGAACTTCCCATGCATGAGAATTTTACGCAAAGTGGTTTTCTACAGTTTATCACTGCATTTTCCATGTTTTTCTTGCTAAAAACAGAATGAAAATCGAATTTTCAAAATGGAAAACCACTTTGTTCTCACGGGGACCACTAATCATTAAAAACGCTTCCTTGAGTTTTCCGGCTTGCCCATAAAATTTCTCAAACCAGCCTATGCAGATCAAGAAACACTAATCTATAGGTGCTTCTATCAAAAAAGACTGTTTCCTCTTTTTAAATATTCATGTAGATACATTTTTTGTTAATTAGGATAAATAAAAATAAAATAGAATACAAATGAGAGTATCTTTGTTCTTTGTAAACAGATATAAACACTAATGATAAAATAAAACATTGACAGTCTACCTCCGCCAGCAATACTATTCAATTTTTGTATACGAAATACATTATCTAACTACGGCATCTTCAAATGATTTATTTTGACGGAGACATTATCTATGTATTCTGTGATTCTCAGCGGCCAAAGTTTGATTCCACAACGGTATAGTCGGGAAGCATTATAACAGCAGCATCCCATCAGATATAATAGTGCAATAAAGTAACAGTCCATATAAGTCGTTAGTTTATTACACGATTGCATATGATGAGATACTGCTGTTATAATGCTTCCCGACTGTGCCGTTGTGGGATCAAACTTTGGCCGAAACTGATTCCGCTGAGAATCATAGAAAAGTAAATGAATGGTTTCTTTTAAGTTCTATGTCAAAATTCATGGATTATACACTGAAACTCACGTTCAGTTCACTCATCGGAAGTTCCGTTATTCTCATGCTATCGCTTACTAATGCTTTTAAATGTAATATAAAAAAACAGAGAGAATTAAAACTCGCATATTTCGATCATAAACATCTTTATTTTGCTCTTGTATTTTACTCCACTATCGATTCTATTCAGAGTAATAACGAGCAACTAATTTTTTATCACTTTCTCATTTCACTCATTTTGTTGAAATAATACTTTTCTTCCCTGACCTTCGATTAAACAACGTTGTATGCTATATGAAAAAACTTGTCATCGATTTTGCTCTTTGTCTGTCTTCTTTCTCTCTATTTTCTGTTTTTTTTTGTTTTTTTTTTGTTATATAAGAATAATATAAAAATGTTAATTGAATTCACTTAAAAAATCTGATCAGTTTAGATGATAAATTTATTTTTAGTTGAACGTACGAAAAGATATGAAGATAAAACAAAAAATACGAAAATAACTAGAGTAATACAGTAATAACCATTTTGACAATCAACAAAAAATATGAATCTCTTTTTATTACATAAAAAAGAAGATAAAAAAAAAATAATTTCGAATTTTCAGATGACTAAAAAATAAAAAGGTATTTTTTAAACAACGGACAATTTTATGTGTTTTAATTTCAGATTTATCAGCATTCAATTAAATATACAAAATGGTATTTCTGTATTATGTCAGTTATACAGATGAATCGAAGAAAAGATCTATGGAATGTGTTAACATTTGCAATATTAGCTATGATATTCAAATACGATTTATATTATGACAGATGCTATGATTTACAAGTATGTTTTATTGAGTCATGTAGATCTTTGAAACGAAAATCTTCACTTTATTTAATAGCTCGTATGAGAATATTTTCATCTCGAGGGCTTGTCTAAGATAGGAAATAATAAACTGGCGTATTTTATATTTTGATTACTCATTACATTAGATATTTTAACGATTCACTGCTTCTTTCTCCTCATGTTAACTCTCGAAGAGAAAGTTTTTTGTGCCATAGTCTTTCAATACAAGTATATTACATTATTTTGAAAAAAAAAAGCAGTAGTAAGAACGGTTAAATCATTTGGGCACGGTTTATTCCTTGAACTATTTATTTTTCATTTGCTCAAAACAATGAACAAAACATTTAATTTCTGTTGACCTTTTTTTTTTGTCAAGTGTTTCGTGACAATGTTATACCACATATAATAAATTTTCACATTCAATATAGTAAAAAAATCATTTTTTAAAGCGAATAGCTAATCAATTTGTTCTACAATTTGCTTCTATTTCTGAAAAAAAAACAAAAATGTTATGCTCGTTTTGTAGTTTTTTTTTTTTTATCGACACAACAGACAGCAATGAATAGATAAAGAAGAACAAGAAACGATAAATATTTTCCCTTTAGCTCATTTGTTTGATGTCATGTCAATTTAGCTCATTAAAAGAAAAGAATTAAGTAATATTTGTTCCTTTGACTGATTGTTCAATGTTAATCAAGTAAAAGTTATTCTGTTTCATCTTTAGCTAAAGGAATGTAAGATTGTGATTAATAATAAATCGCGTTGCTGTTGTTATTGTATGTCTTTGTATTCATATATATACAAATAGTAATAAAAAAAAAATTATTTTTTTGCTTTCAAAAACGAAAGCAAAAAAAAAAGCAATATTATATACGTAACAATATAATAAATTGATTAGAAGGAAAGGGAGAAGGATAGAAAAACCGGAAATAAGCATGACGATAAGACTTAAAGAAAAAAAGAAAGAAGAAAAACGGTTCTAAAGACAAATTGAAACAGATATGAACATTTTTATAATCAATGAATGAATGCGTGCCATGATAGTACTTTTGTTATTGTTGACATTATGAATAGAGGTTAATCGAAAAGATTTTTAAAATAAAAAACGATTAGTTGTTCTTCCTGAAACAAAGATTATAAAGAATGATAACGGCACAATTTTATCATTCATATCCAAAGTATCATCGACATAATTATACTAGACCTACAAATGACTACGAAATGCAAAAACAATCTTCACAGTATATTAATGTACAACAACGACATAAAAGTGGTCATGTATTACACAGGTACTCGTATATGTGATATATACGTTTGTCAGATAAGACCGTAGGGAGTCATGTCATCATTATCTCATAAATTTTGATTTGCTAAGATTGTATGAAAAATGATTGAAGTCTTGTAGAGTGTACACAGTATAAGATGATTATTTTTTATGCAATGAATATGAACTGCAGCAGAGTGTTTTTATATCATAATATTCTAATAGTTTGTTCCAAGAAATTGTTTATCTTTGATTCTATCCTTTCTCTCTCTCTCTCTCTATGCGCGTATTATGTATCTCTAATCAAAATGCAAACTGAAAAATCGCTCTAAAAGACAAATTGAAACAGGTATGAGCATTTTTTATGATGGATAAATGAACACATGACACGATGATACTGCTGTTGTTATTAACTTTATGAATAGACAACAATAGAAAAGATTTTTAAAGTAAAAAATGGTTTGTTTTCCCAAAACAAAGAATATAAATAATGATCAAACGAATTGGTAGGTTTTTTTCGGATTTCACTCACATATTTATGTGTTGACTGATTAATCTTTTGTCTCGTATCAATTGTTGTCATTTTAATTAGTTAACCATATTAAACTACTGAGTATCACTCGAGTACTATAGGTTGACATACGGAAAATGGAAAAGTTGTGTATATTTTTCCTTCTTTTTATCTCATTTTTCCATTAAACTAACGTCAAAAAATCTGTCCGTGTTGTATATAAGTAGGCATATCTCTATGTTGTTGTGTTTATTCAGCTGATTGTTCCAAACACAGCAAAAAAAAAAAGAAAGAATATTTTTGACTGGTGTATGTACAGGAGATCTCTCATTCGCTATTTTTTTTTTATTATTCGGTAAAACAATTCGAATCACTTTTGTGTGTCGTTCTTTCTTTTCCATATATATTAGTTATACGAGAAACGATAATAATCTCTTGTTATCGTTTATAACTATGTAGATAGATCTATGTGTGTGTATGATCAACTTTATGTCTTTTTCCTATGCAGTAATTAAGACAAATCTTGAATGGGACGGGAAAAGAAAAAAACAACATATCGTAGAAGAAGAAAAGAATTCATATGATTACTACCTTTTATGTAAAAGGAAAGAACAAGGACGTTTGATGTAGACAACTTTGGAGTCTATACATAATCGTTAATTGATCACATGTACATTATTTGTTTCATTCATAAATAAGAGGTGAAACTAAATGAGTTCAGTTATTGATTATTCTTCATCATCATCATCACCACCGCCACCACCACCGCCCTCAACTACGAATACAGTCGTTCCATCTTTTGAAAATGATATGCATCCATCATTTGAATTAAAAATATCAACTCCATTTCATGTTACACCATTAACTCAAAAATCATTATCATCGTCACCATCTTATTTAACAAAATCAACAAATACATCATTGCCAATTGGTTTGTTGTCTCATTCTGATTCATTGAATAATCATAAACATTTTCAGTTTTATCCGAATCATGTACAAACATCACACGTAGCCACCAATGATCCTTCCTACACAAATAATGATATCTATTTTCATGTAATACCATCAGCTAGCACTCTAGCAGGCACAATCGTTCCTCTTCTACCGTCATCATCTACATCAACTACAACAACAACAGTAGCCACATATGATACGTTTGATCAACAATCATTTCGAACAGTACCCTTTTCTCATAATAAGAATCCGATTCGATACAGGTATATGGAAGAATATTTTGAAACATAATTAATAGTGTGTGCACATCGTTTTTATTTGCAGTATACTTATATATAAATTATAGGATCAAAAAATGTTATTTATAAAACACTGATATGTATATGTGTTATATCATAAAAATATTTGGAGTTAAGATATAATTACAGATACATAAGTTAGAAATAGAAATGGAATCTTGCGGTATGTTTGAATATCACAAACAGAATGTGGAACATAACGTTCTATTTAATGGTCGAAAAAATCTTCATTCGATTACTAAATCCATGATTAATCATTTTAAATATAGAAACTTGAATACACTTTTACTTTTATTATTAATTTCGTGACTGTCGTTGATTGAACACACTCTCCCAACTGAATACAAACTAAATTTTATTTGTATTGTTTGAAAAATTAATTGGATAGTTGTAACCTTCCAAAG